TTTTTTTCCCCCTTTTAGTGTGGGTACTTTTTCTTAAGCTTTTACAATAATGGCCCTATGCAGTATTTCTCCTTTTGTGACTAATTTCACTCAGCATAATGTCCTCAGGGTTCATCCATGTTATGTGGTGGCTTCAACTGTATCCTTCTTGTTATCTAGAAGTAGCTTGCTGCTCCAAGTTTTGCCTGAGATCCCAGGTTCTGAGTTTTTTCACCGATGTTAGCAGTGCTTACTACTTGCACTGAATAATATACCTCTAATTTAAAAAATATATATGTTTCCTGATGATTTTCTTATTGAAGCAGTCTTCTTTTCAAAACTGCAAAAATCTTCGGCATGCTATTATGAAAAGGTTCCAGCTAATGACAGTGGCGTTTTTTAGTTGAGCCATAGGGAGGATTTGTTAGGATATTTTAAATAGAATCCAAATGATAACCATATAAATAAAAAAGAAACTGGATTGAAGATAGGGGCCCCTATAAAGTACTGACTGGAGTCACTGGCCAGAGCTAGTCTTCCACGTCTCCCCGCATTTCTGTAGTGTCGTTTCTCTCTTTTTTCATGTCAGTATAAGACCACAGAGTTTATGCTATTGGTGCCCTTCTGTAAACCATCAGCCTTCTCAGAAAACACAGTCCCATGTGATCTTGTGATCCCCAAACTCCCACCCAGATTCCACCATGACAAGAGAGCCATAAATTTTCAAATTAAACCAACCCAAGGGCCACCAGAATTGGTTTAACTTTCTGCTACTTGCTTCACTTTAATTACAGCCACTTGGAGCCAGTGACTATTTGGAACTATCAAGGAATTATGATACAGTATTTTTACGAAACATTCCACAGTTTACCCTGGCAAAGAGGACTCAAGCTCGGAGATTCATAACTCTCATTGATAACTTTTATGATTTCAAGGTAAGAATGTAATACATTTTCCCAAAATAAAATATTCTGCACTCTGGAGCCAGATTGGCTGGACTGGAATCTGGCGCTACCATTTACTTCATCTATCTGCACCTCAGTTTCCTCATCTGTGAACTGGGTACAAGAAAAGTACATACTTTGTAGGGTTGTTGTGAGAACTAAATAAATAACGGATGCAAAATTTATAAAAATATAAAATCATTTTCAATATATGATAGTATATATACATGGGAGCCATGGTGTGGCACTGTGGGTTAATGTACAGGACTGTAAGATCGGTTTGAACAGCAACGTCGGTGCGTTAAGATCACCAGTGACTGCTCGGGAAACCTATACAGGGTCACTGAGAGTCAGAACCAACTTGCGTAACAACATATGTACATGACGTGGTGGTGGTGTGCCATCAAGTCGTTTCCGACTCGTAGCTATCAGTGTCCTTTTCAGGGAGCTTGTAAGGCTGTAAATCTCTACAGGAGCAGAAAATTTCATTTTTTCACCCACAAAACAGCTAGTGTATTCAAAGTACTGACTTTGTGGTTAGCAGCCTAACGTGTCCAGCATTATTATACCAGGGCTGTCCTACATGATACGTTGTTGCTGTTGTTAAGTGCTGTTGAGTTAGTACCAACTCATTGGTATTGTTAAGTGCTGTCAAGTTGGTTTCGACTCATAGTGACCCTGTTTCTGAGGAATTACTGGTGAGTTTGAACCTCCGACCTTGCGGTCCAGTGCTTATCCTACAGTGCCCCACCAGGACTCCCCTATGTGATATAATCACGAAATATTCATGTAAACTTTAGTCTTTTCGAAGACAGTCCTGGCAGGATTCCGATAAAAATGTAGGTTCTAGAACCACAAGGTAAATCACAGGAACAATGCACCAAACCTAGCAGCCACCTATGTGCTAAAGTGGTTACCTCTCTCCCATGCATCTGGGGAGATCTTTGGAACAGAGGCTGTCTCCAAACACCCAGGGACAAATGTCAGCAGCAGGGTGTGAGGGAAAGAGCACTCACTAGACTTAGAACCAGAAGATTAGTATTAATGAGCTGAGGCCTCTTCTGGCCTGACATTTCCCAAGAAGACTTTTGGCTCCTACTTCAAAAGCTGCTAGAAGATGTGTGGAGATCTTTTGAAGAGTCACAAACTACTAGAAAAAAATATGGACATATTAAAAGTAAAATGAACAGATTTGTGGTTTGTGAAAGATTTGTTCTTTACTTCAGCTTGTGCAATGTAAAGACTGGTGCCACTCACGCACTCTCCCCTACTTCAGGTGCGCGTAATTTGCTCCGCATCGACTCCTCTGTCAAGCCTATTTTTGCATCAACATCCTGACAGTGAGTTGGAGCAAAGCAGAATACTGATGGATGATTTGGGGCTGAGCCAGGTAGGCGATATTAACATAATCTCTTTTTATTATAAAACAGCTTAATTGATTTGGGCCCACTACGTGGCTACATTTTAAAGAAGGAATGCAGTATATATTTAACCATTTGTTTGCTGCCTTCTTCTAAGGCCGTTGTAGCCAATTTAGTATTCTCAGTCTCACAAAATGGTATCCCAGCATTTCGTTTTGCGTATGGCAGAAATGAAGTCCAAAATCAGTCAGGCTACTGATTAACATCAGGCCAGAGCTGGACAACAGGGCATCTGTGGCTGGCGCCAGGCTACCTCTTGCTGCCTTTTCTGGACATCCTTCGTCATGTTTCTGGATTGTCAAGCACATAATTCAGTATCCAAACGTGTGGGCTGGCTATTCCAGGACCACGGAGTGCCTCGTAAAGCACATTTAAAAGGAAGTCTGGGAGTCATTTCCCAACCTCCAAACAGCAAACATTTATGGAGCACACTCAGTAGTGAAAAGGAAATGCTGGCCTGTCCTCCTAAAGCTTAGAGTCTGGTGACTGACCCCCTACCAAGCAAAAGTGGCTAGATTTCCTTCTTTTGTAAGATTGTTACACAGGTTATTTCTGAACTAGAGACAACTGATATATTGGTCAAGCTTTTAAAGCTAATCTATCCACACTCACCTTGAGAATGAAGGGAGCCCTGTTCTTCAAACCCCAGGGGTGAAAGGCTCACTGACCTGGGTAGAAATTGTGCACCCTCAGGAATTTGGGTGCATAGACCAAGAGCAATTGTTCCAATAGAATAAGGGGACACTGAATAGTTTAAAATCAGGAAAGGTGTACAACAGGGTTGTATTCTTTCACCATACTTATTCAATCAGTATGCTGGGCACATAATCCGAGAAGCTGGATTATATGAAGAAAAATGTGGTATCAGGATTGGAGGAAGACTCATTAACAACCTTTAACAACCTGCAATATGCTGATGATACAACCTTGCTTTCTGGAAGTGACGAGGACTTAAAATACTAATGAAGATCAAAGATTGTCACACAGCCTTTGGTATGGGTTACACCTCACTGTAAAGAAAACAAAAATCCTTACCACTAGAACAATAAATCGCATCATGATAAATGGAAAAAACAGTGAAGTTGTCAAAGACTTCATTTCACTTAGATCCACCATCAACATTCATGGAAGAAACAGTAAAGAAATCAAGTAACACGTTGCATTAGACAGATCTGCTGCCCAAGACCTCTTTAAAGTGTTCAAGAGCAAAGATGTCAGTTTGAGAACTAAGGTGTGCCTGACCCAAACCACAGTATTTTCAGTTGCCTCATATGTGTTTAACAGTTGAACAGTGAACAAGGAAGACCATAGAGGAATTGATGCATTTGAGTTATGTTGTTGAAGAATATTAAAAGTACCATGGACTGACTTCTGGCAGGATGGCTGACTAGGCAGATGAATTACATGGACCCTCTACAACACAATATTAAAGACAAAATAAAACAGACATAGATGAAAATTCTGGCACCCTGAACTTAGTCAGGGAAACTGACTGGTAAACAGTTGGCCAGATGCAGCCCAACTGTCTTGTGAGAAGCTTTGGCAATAGAAGGAAGCCTGGCAAAACAGATTCACACAGGCGACAGGAAAGGTGTGATTTCTTCATTTTCCCCATGCTCCCCTGGTGACCAGAGATGTGGCCAGCTCCCACTCTCATCCTCCCCCAGCACAGACCCTGCTCTCTCAGAGTTTAAAAGCATGTGGTTGGGAGCCATGCCAATGTGAGTTGGACCCCAGCTACGCTTCTTTGCTGTGCTGCTTTGGTGCCTGGATTCAGGTGAGCTCAGCTCCAGACCTATAAAACCCAAAGAGCCACCAAACAAGTATCTTACCAGTCACCCTGCCCCCCAGCTTCCCTGTGGTCCTAACAGACATTGAAACCAGCTCCATAAGGGCCTCCATGAACTACTTTCAGATTGAGTGCCCTGAACATAGATAACACCAAGGCCAATAGGAACTCCACCATGGCCAGGAACTCTGCTGTCACATCCCTTCCAGAACCACCTTGTGAGCTCCTTGAATTGCAGGAGTCCACCAGAGACTCCTCCCCTCCATCTGCACTGTTTGTTTTTACAAATACAACAATATCCAAATGCCCCAGACAACAGACAATTTTAGCTCACATGAAGAAGCAAGAGAGAATGGCTCAAACAAATAACCAGATGCAGAGACAGAAAACATTTCTGAGGAAAAGAAGGTAATGGGACTAACTGAAAAAGAATTTAAAAGAATGATATCTTTGTACCTTTAATGATTGACAGAAAGCTTAAGGAAAACAAGGACAACACAGAAAAAACAGAAGAATTTGGGGAAATGCTACAAGAACAAACAGACAAAATAAATGCAATTTTTGAACCCATACAAAACCTGCAATTAGAAAGCCAGAAAATTAATACTGAGATTTCAGAAATGGACAATACATTGAAAGGGCAAAGTTCTCAACATAATGGAAGTCCAAATTAGTGATCTAATTGATTTATTGATAAATCTCTCAATACTAATATGCTAGAAGAGCAATCAGAAAAAAAGAATGAAAAAATCCAAGAAAGTCTAAGAGTTATGTGGGACACCATGAAAAGGAACAGCTTAGGGGAGATTGGATTACAGAACAGGAAGAGACGATAGAAAGCACAGATAAAATGGTCAAAGAATTGTTGGAAGAAAGCTTCCCTAACATCATGAAAAATGAGAAGATAAGCATTCAAGAAGCAGAACAAACCCCAAACAGGTTAGATTACAAAAAGAAATCACCAATATCATATTCAAACTTTTCAAAATTAAAAAATCCTGATAACAGCTTAAGAAAAATGAAAAGTTACCTACAAAAGAGAACCAGTAAGACTAACCTCTGATTTCTTAGCAAAAACCATGTATAAAGAAGGCAATGGAATGACATACAAAACTCTGAAAAAAAAAAAAAAATTGCCAGCCAAGAATCATATAGCCAGCAAAGCTGTTCCTCAGAAAACAAAGGCAAAATTAGGACCTTTACTAATAAATAGAAATTAAAGGAATTTGAAGTGACCAGACCAACTTTACAAAAAATGCTAAAGGGTGTTCTTTGGACCAAGAACCAACAACAACAAACAACAACCTGAGACTACCATGCATCAAAACACCACCTGGAACTCAATCCAGTTATAGAAGTATTTCAAGTAAAACAAACCTAGAAGACTGAAAGTGGGGAAGCATGTATATAAATTTGGAATGAAGTTAACTACAAAGCAAAAAGAGGAACTAGTATAGATGAAGAATTTCCAAATGGCAAGGAAGTCAAGTAGATTTCACGATAAAATAGATTGTTTTAAGCAGGGAAATATTAATAAATTACCAGGTAACCTCAAAGAAAAAGAATACACCTGCACATCAAAATTTTAAAAAGAAGGAAAATCAGAAAGAAGTGGTAAACATAAACACACAAGAAATGAAAATGACAAGAAAATTCACAAACAAAATGAACTCAGCATAGAAAATTATGTGGAACAAAGAATCTAGCAGCACCACACACACACACACACACACACACACACACACACACAAACAACCCAGGAAAATGAGAACAATCAATTCATACCTATTGATAATTACACTGAATATAAATGGATTAACTGTACCAGTCAAGAGACATAGAGAGCGAAATGGTTAAGAAAACAGGACCCTTCAATATGCTGCTACAAAAAATATATCAAAATGCCCATCAACAGAATGGTTAAACAAACTCTGGCACTTAACAAGAACAAGAAGAAAAGGATGAAAATGCAAAGCCCTTTTAGTGGCCATTAGCCCACATGGTTGTTACCAGTCCTAGACTAGAAGCTTCACAGGATCAGGGCTTCCGTACTTCACCCTAGATCAGGGATGGGAAATGTGGGAAGTATTGTTGTTGTTGTTGTTGTCAGGTGCCATCGAGTCGGAACCAACTCATAGCGACCCCATGCACAGCAGAATGAAACAATGTCTGATCCTGGGCCAACCTCACTACCGCTGCCACACTTGAGCCCATCGATGATGCCACCTGGCCAATCCATCTCTTTGGGGGTCTTCCTCTTTTTCTCTGACCCTCCACCTTACCCAGCATGGCATCCTTCTCTAGCGATTGTACCCTCCGAACAATATGTCCAAAGTATGAGAGATGAAGCTTAGCCATCTTGGCCTCCAAGGAGCACTCTGGCTGCACTTCTTCCAAAACAGATCTATTGGTTCTTTTGGCAGCCCATGGCACTTTCAATATTCTCCTCCAACACCACAACTCAAAGGCATCAATTCTTCTAGAATCTTCCTTATTCACTGTCCAGCTTTTGCATCCATATGAGGTTAGTGGGAAGTATAAGGCCTGAGAAATCACTTGGTCTGGTCTTGCCAAGGCAACCACAGTTCCAGCCATCACATTGTTGCTGTTAAGTGCCGTTGAGTTGGTTCCGACCCATACCAACCCTGTATAGGGTATCCAAGGAGCAAGGTTGATGAGTTTGAACCACCGACTTTGTGTTTCAAACCAACATTGTGGTCCACTGCATTATCCTGCAGCACCACACCAGGACTCCAGCCATTCCGTTGTTGTTGTTGTTGTTAAGTGCCGTTGAGTGGATTCCGACCCATAATGACCCTGGTATAGGGTTTCCAAGGAGCAGTTGATGAGCTTGAACCAGCGACCTTGCAGTTCTAACGACTTTGCAGTCTGATGCATTAGCCCACAGCACCACACCAGGACTCTAACCATCACATTCGGGATGAGTTCATTAAATATTTGACCAAATATAGCAGGCTAAGTTTTAAACTGATAATATTGTATGGCCCACATGATTTTTAAATATTCAAATGGTCCTTGGCAGAAAAAAAGTACCCCAGCCCTGCCCTAGATGATGGGCCACAGCAGCCCAGGACTCCAAGCAGCTGTGGCCTCTGTAAAGGAAGATCCCACACAAATCTTCAGGACCCCACTGAAGGGGACTTTGCAGCTATCTAGTTTGGAAAAGGCCTCAGAGATTGATCCTTAGCCCTCCCACAGGTGTGTGAACCCCACTCCGTAGCTTCAGAGGAAAGCTCAGCCACTTCCTAACTTGGCAACACAAATCTTCTTTGCCATTGTTGATTTCTGACATGCATTTTTGGAGAAAGTAGTCATTTTTTGTGTGGACTGTCCTTTCTTTAGAGTTTGCAGAGAATTTGAATTTTAAGCAAAAGCTCTCATATTTGAATTTTTCTGGCATTTGTTACAATGTTTTTAATTATTTCCCTTTGAAGTCTTCTTCCCTGGTTATTTGTTCTGTTTTCTTTCTGTTGGTTGATATTTGTTGATCCTCTGGTCTATTTTAAGACATGATCCAGTGAAACCAATGAGAGACAGAACTCAATAGGAATGCCTTGTTTTTTGGGTCTTGCAAGTTTCCCATTGTTGACAGGGTACAGCCTTACCACTTTCCTGTAGCTTTCTATGAGGGGAAATCTTTGAGATTTAGACATATTTCTGCCATACACAAATTCTAGCGTTCTCAAATTTTGTTGTATATGAAGAAACCTAGAGAAAATTTTATAACTTTCAAAAGGTATACCTTTTGAAACTCAAAGTTTAAAAAAAAAAAAAAAATCTTGTACTTAATTCTGTAAGTTTTCATTGTGGGGGCTTGTTTTCTAACCAGGACTCAGCGGAAGGACTGTCCATGTTCACAGGAGAAGAGGAAATCTTTGCATTCCAGCGCACGATTTCCCGACTCACAGAAATGCAGACCGAGCAGTACTGGAATGAAGGGGACAGAAACAAGAAGTAACTGTCACCTCTGCATGAATAAAACTCTGGACAAGTGATTAATGGAAGGGGAACGCTATTGCAAAATGCACTTTGACCTCTGGACCATGTGTATCTAAAATTACTGTCAAAGATAGAATAGATTAGTATGTTAAAGCCATTTTATAGATCTATTCTTTTGACTATTTATTTGGAATGAGTTCTGCACCACATAATTAAATAAGTTCTCCAGAAAACTATACTGTTGTTGTTGTTAGGTGCAGTCAAGTCAGTTCTGACTCCTAGTGACCCCGTATAGGGTTTCTGAGAAGCAGCTGATGAGCTTGAACCACCAACCTTGCAATTCAAATGACCTTGTGGTCCAGCACATTAACCCACAGTGCCATACCAGGACTCCAGAAGACTATATAGGACCAGACTTTTAGTTTTATGTTAAACCGCCTGAATGAACCCAGAGGACACAGACACAGTGGCACACAGCATGTCTGATGTCTCCAAAATTTGGCTACACGGTGGTCACATATTAGAAATACATTTTTTATGAAAGGAAGAAAGAACCCGACATTTCTCTTCAAGATAAAGGGG